GAATACTTGAAGTTGGAATCTTCTCTGAACTTTCTATACGTCTGCATGTAGATGAATATTCATCATAATAATCAGAAGCATTCGTTAGTGATATAACAAATATAGAATATTCTATAGAACATTTGTATGATCATGTCAACGAATGATAAAATTTTTCTTTACCTGTGACTAACGACGTGTTGTTTTTCTAAACTTTATTTTCTTAGTGCTGTAGAGAAATCCAGCACAAGTTGTAGACATAAATCTTAGTAAGTAAACTCATCCTACAGAGGAAATGCTTGGGGTGCGACAGAAGAATGATAAAATAAATGGTCGAGACCATTGAGGTCTTGTATAAAAGTAGTATTATTGTTGGTATTATTTTATTCAAGACTAGCATATAGCATAAAGCGATTGTATGTTACTTTAATAAACAAAAAGGCGTGAGGAAATAATGAATTTTTTAAATGGAACAAACAAAAAGATATGAGAAAAAAGAATAAATAACAACATGGGATTAAGATTAAAATCATATGTACATCCATCAGAATGAAAAATTTAAAAAACGCTACTAATTAATGTTTTTACATAAATTTGAATTGTAAAAAAATTATTCAAATGAATACAAAAAAGTTTTTTCACACTCCTAATGGTAAAGTAAATGCTAATTTGGAAGCTTTTAAATTGAATTAAAATTAAATATTACCAAAATTCACTTCCATCTCACGTACCAATGTGGGAACATGTTTTGGCTTTCTTTAAAGTGTCAATATGATGTAGTTGATGGTAATGGCGAAAATGCCTGATCTAAAAGTCAAAGAGGGGAAGTTTAGAAACAATATTATGTAGAGCTGGCGTTGAAACATCTGGTTAAATCATTATGTAGAATGTGGCGAAAAAAGGAAGAAATGAGTCTACAAAAACTATGTAGCTCCAGTTACTTGGATCATACAAAAAATGGGTTGCAATGTTAAATCAATAAAGAAAGTTTTAGAGTACTTATATTAGAAAAGTAAGCTCATTTTGAAGAGGGTGTACAACAACAGAAATAAAGAAAATGAGCTATAAAATAACTGAGGTAAAAAAGTTGTTGGACAGATAAAATATAATACCCATTAAATTCAAGAATCAATTTATATTTAACCATAATCTTTGAAATGCAGTGATTTTTTATAATGACTTACTACATCACATATTAATACTACTTGAAATAAATGCTCCAAATAGCTTGCAGAAATTTACATTGCCCACGAAACCAGTTACATACAGGAACGATATTGATTCATGTTCTAGAAACTGGACGATACCTACAAGTGGTTCTGGATCCTACTCTCTGAATAGCTATTCGTAGATAATTTTAGTCCCTGGATTATTCGTAGTCAGTTAGTCCAAGTGATGGAGGTAAAAAACCTGGTACCTTATGGTATCAAAATCATTCAAGATTATTACTCCTAGCTATCACAAGCCGGATTGCTAATAGCAGAACTAATTATGTTAAATGTTTTATTCAATTGTATGAAACCAATTAGTTGAGATGGAATAAAGAATTTTAAAATCATGACAAATGAAGTATTGAACCATTTGAGTGGCATCAACAGTTATTAAACATCAAAGAACATGATTTGACGTAAGGTTGTGGCTACTAGCCAAAATTCAACTAGTGGCAAAGGCTTAAAAGGGCTACTTATCAGACCAACATTCTCATTAGACTTCAAATTCAGTCGAGGATTAAGTACTTTGTAGATCGTGCTTCGTCATCAATTGATTTTAGAGAAGAACAAGTTGAAGACTCATGACGTTATTCCAGCAGGGATGAAGTTTATTAAGTCAGATTTAGAACAACCTTCAAATGAAAATTCTATCGATTCATCAGCCAATTGTCTTCAGCTCTATAGAAACATAAGTATTTTCTTCTCACTTGTAAGCAAGAATGTTTGAAATCTGAAATTTTTCAATCTCTAGACCAGAGATTGCAATGCCCTACTTGTCAGAAAATGTCTACACTTCATCTATCACTGTAGAAAAATACCATTCCTTACTACTATTAATAATCATTTTTCTCGCGAAAATTAGTATTTATATTCTTGCTGGTCAGTATAAATACATATTTATTTTTTCATAAAAATGTTACAAGTAATCACTTAACAGCTGTGTTCATATATAAGATACATAGCTAACATATATTTACATTTTTTTTAATGTATTTTCATTGAAGAACTTCAACTAAATTATTTTATTATACATATTTATATGGAATTGATGAATACACATGTGTCAGTAGTAATTTAACATACATTGATCGTATAAAAAAGTCGAGTCAGTTTGAAAAATATGTTTATTTGAAGCTACATCACCATTCAACGACTCGAAATTGATTTTTTTTTATTTTTAAGACTCGATGAACACTTAGAGAGATTCAAACAAATTGTATTAATTAGTCAATAAAATGAACTCTATTTATTTTTTGCTTTTGACATCTAAAATTTATATTTGGTTTGCGTTATTAAAGCTTTTATAACAGAATTTTATTATTGGTTGAATGTATTTTATGTCAATAGAGTGCTAGTTTTCTGTGAAATAGAAAATAAATTAATTCAACAAATAAATGAAATAATTATAAGCTGAATATTTGTTAGAGAATACTACAAACATTTTTGAATTAAAATCAATATATTTTGGCACAAAATTATATGGAATTCTATTAATATTTGTAGGAGAAAATATACTAAAATATTTCATTCAACCCTAAATTATAAGCCGAAGTTATATATATATATATTTATATTGGTTAAGCAATAAATTAATAACTCAATAATTTTCCTTTTTGTCATTTTTACAAATATATTTACAGTATTTACATTACATGGGTATATTAAGTTTATGATCCAGCTTTTATTTTGTCAAAAATATGAACATCTTTTGAAGCAGTAATTGTGATTTATTCAAATACGTGTTAAATGTTATATTATATAATATAACATTTAACACGTATTTGAATAAACTAACTATAGTTGGTTACTCATAATGAAAAATAAGTTCAAAAGTTATTAATAAAAAATGTTATTTTAATAAAAAAACAAATTATTGCAGAATATAATTGATGGAATACATAAATTTTAAAATAAGGATTATTTGAAAAAGTAATAATAAAAAAAAATTTTTTCGCGTATTTAATATTTTATCATGTTAAAAAAAATTCATTTCAATCTGTTCATTTGCAATTACTTTCGCCATTAGTAAATGAATGTAAAAAATAAATGAATGCATAATAAATAAAATAAACGAAAAATTTAATAAAATTTATCTGTTATTATTTTGACATATTGTTGTTTTATAATAGTTGTAATTTATATTTATACCATACTTATCGATTTCAATATAATTAAATATCAATAATACAATAATTATCATTCACATGTAAGCACCCATTTCTTAATCACTCTTACATATAAAAAAAATGGCAATGAATTATAGTATAGAAAATTTTTCTGTCTTTTAAATATTGCGGCAGTAATTTAGCTATAAAATAAACAAAAAAGACGACGTAAAATTTACAAAATATGAAATTTATATTTATAAACATACATAAGTCAATTGAATCATTGTCAGTTAATAAATTAACTAATTACATTTTATAAAATAAGCTGACTTTGAAATTTTAGAATCTGCATCAATGAAGCACGTCATGTTTTCAAAGTGAACTCATTTTCAATTACATGGTCCGCATATTCGTAACAATTATTAATAAAAAAAAGAATATCGGACCAGGTGAAACAATTAACTTAAAATATAACAAATGGCTATTATTATTAATTATTGAACGATATTTATTCTACAAATAATTCACGTTTGTGTATTAATATGAAATATTTTTAGCTACAAAAACACAGCCTTCGCTAAACAGATTTTTTTAATGATAAACACGGCGCAAGTTCATTAAATTCTTTAGAGGAAGAAAGTATGAAATACTATTGGAGAAAAGTTCTTTTCGTTCAATTGAAATAATCTAAATTCACATAATTGATGCTATTTTATTTCATCGATTTATTTTCTGTTAATGAAGCGCAGTATTTGACTCAGTTTCGTATTCTCATTTTACTTAAAATTAATGACTTACTTCTCTACAAGAGCTTGAGTTTCTTAATACAATCATTTTTTGTTGTTTTTGTTAAATAAACACTTTATGACCGTTTATAAATAGTGAATAAATTGAGTAATAATTTCTGAAAATTGAGAACACCTTGCGGTATTCTAGGATTACAATTATTGCATTGAGAGAAAACATGACACATTAAAGAAGTTGAATTTAAAAAATATTTTATCTTTAAAATATCACATGAAATATTTTTTGTATAAGATATTCATAACAATAAACTGTTTTAATTAGGACAAATGATAGCTATTTTCGTGTTGAAACATACTAGATTAAAACTTTTAACTTTTCTAAAATAGTTTTCTCTCTCAGCTTTCGGTTCAGTATTTCCATGTATTTATAGTTTCATCATAAAACATAACATTTAATAACATTTTCTCGCATTTAACATTTCAATTTTTATTATCACTCAGAGCGCCGTGATATTTCACAAACATCAATCGTTCAATACACTGCGTGCTTTTTACAATTCACAAAATGAACCTATGAAAGGCTCAATGTTCTTTCACTTAAATAATAATTATTTATCTTATATAATGATAATTTGAAAATTTACATATACATATATGTCAGAGGGCAGTAACGACAACAAATCGCATATTGTATTGACTATAATATAGACAGTTAGAAAAATCCACCCAACATTATCATCATCTCCATTTACATAGATGGACCCTTTTCAAAATATCTTTGCAGTCGACCATCTTTTATTCATATATATTTATATATATATATATATATATATATATATATAATAGTACTTTGCATTAAAATAATGTCGACTACAACATATGCACTTTAAATTACAACTAGTAAATATGATTACTTAAAAATCTAATCTAATTAGAAACTGATAGAATCACATGGATATTTAAATTAGTAAAGTCGAAAATTCTCGATTTCCTGGCTTTATAGGCACCTTCTCTTGAATTATTTTTATTGTTACATTACATGAATGTATTAAAAATAGATCTCTCAGATTATCCAGCATACCATTAATCTAATTATTTTATCGATAAAATTATTATTTTATTCAAATGCCATTCATGACAACAAATTACCGTCCATTTTATCCAATTGAATAGATGATTGATAAACTAGCGTTGAAAGTAGATAATTATATAATGGTTTTATTCATTTGAATTATTAATTGATTAGTATTGAAAAAAATCTGTAGATCTATTTTCAACACATTTACCAAATTATTTACCATCATAAAATACTCGTAACTTTGTCGGTAGTTTATTTAAAATATACAGTCTAATAATAAGCGCCTAATGGCAGAGAAAATCGAGACGTCCGTCCATATAGTACACGAATATTACCTACGCGTGTTTGAACGAGTTATTCATGAAGAAGATAATCGATAGTCCCGAAAGTAGTTTTAGTAACTAATTAAACGCCTAATTGGCGTAAACGAAAGTTTGCCTGCATTACTTATAACGGCCATAGTATCGCATATACCGAGTTTATGCAACGAGATCGGCCCTAACTCGTTGCAGCCCCCACGACCACGCGTTGATTATTACATTCAACACCCACACTTTTACACGTTTTAATAATTTTTTATATTACATATTGCACCATTATAAAGACAAAAAATGGTATGAATTATTTTATATATCAATTTGTCTTGGTTTCAAATTATTTTAAAATATCATGAGAGAAAAAAATAAAATGTCCCTTTATGGATTATTTGAATGTATGGAATAAAAGCTGATCGAACAATTTTGTTAACATTGTACCACTGTAAATGAATTTTTATATAGCAGTCTTTCACAGAATCGGATTATTGATAAAATGATTATTTTATGACAATAAAAAGGAGTTTTATTATGAATTTTTATTATTGAAAAATAATTATCCGATCCCTTGGACGGAATAAAGCACGTTATTATTTTCAATTTGTCTTTATAACAGCATCAAATTTGATTGAATATTTACAAGTAATTATAACTCTATTTTTCTTTGTTTAATATTTCATAAATATTCAGAGTTTTATAGTTAATCGATCAGCATTAAGGGAATTTTATTTATTAATATTAGAAAATAGGTTTGGTAAAATTTTAAATAATGAAATTTTTTAATATTCTTCTTTATGCAGTAGTATTAGAGTCCATTGTGATATTTTCAATCGTACCTTGTTGTTTTTCATGTTCATGTAGGGTGTATATCAGTGTAATTGATTAATGAAAATATTCATTTCATATTAAATCAGTTGGATTACAGTCACATTTGACGAAGCTCAGTTTACTCAACGCGATCGATCAGCATCCACTAGAACAAGATGCTAAACTGCCGTGGGGGCTCTTGATTGTCAGTGCCACTTTGCTTTTTGCGCAAATATGTCAGCACGTAGATTCTGCGCAAAACAAATCCCAAGAATCTGCGAAAAAATAATTATCGAAAATGAATTATCGTTACAACAAGTGATATATTATACTGAAAACATTTTTTTTTTAATGTATAAAATAAATTAATCCCTTTATTTCAATAATTAATTAAATTTTTTCTCGTGATTACAGAAAATATTGACATCACTCGAAATAGAGGATTAATTTATTACATTTAATATTCATTGATCAATATAAATGTATTTATTTAATGAATTGCTTTTTGAGGTGTTAGTAAACATTGAACGTATCATGCACTAACAATTATAACATAATTTTTTTCATGCATATACAAAACAATTAACAATGTTGATATCTAGACTCCTGACAATGAATATAAAAAATGAAGTATGATAATTATTTTAGCTAGAGTAATTAAAAAAATATTTTTATTTAATTTCTTAATGTATTTCACTAAAAGTCTTGACTACAAATATACCTGGGCAAATGCTGTTATTATTGCACTAGTAGCAATAACAAGTAAATTTCGTTCAATCCATTCTTCTCCTGCTTGAATGCATCCTTTTTCATAAATTGTAACATCAGAATTCTGGAAAAAAATAAATACAACATCTACTGCTTACCGGATGATTGTTGAAACACGAAATGCTTTGTTAATTTGCGGTTCAGAGTGAAGTTAAATTTTAGCAGGATTTTGTAGAGGAAGATAGCGAGGATAAAAAATTCAAGATAATTCTCAACAATGTTGCTTTTATGTGAAAAACCTTGTTGATTTAGGTTTGTCATTCATAAAGCACATTATGTATTTTTTTTTTGATACCGTTAATTTATAATATGCTTGAATAAATATATTAAAAAAAATTGTTATTATAAGATTGCATGTTAGAATTGCATGAACGTGATATTTTTGCGACGGTATCTGACGTTCGAATTTCCTCATAAATGTTAAATATTGCAATTGAAACATGAACCTATTATTTTTTTATTTCACTCTTCATTAATCGTAACTTCTACCTTGTATTACAACTTGTACTCTCACTAGCTTTTTATGAAAACATACTCTAATACGATTATTCAATTATTTAGGAAAAAATTTATTTTGTTTCAACATTTGTTAACATTGATTTTATAAGTGAAGTAATATATATATAAGAAAAAAATTTACTTTGGAGATTCTCACTGTTGAAATTCATTTAATTATTTATATACATGTAAATATTAAATAAAAATAAATTAAAATTGAAATACTTTCGACTTAATTAGTTAAGAAGTATTTTTATTACCAAAAAAACATTACTCTTCGCTAAAAGTAAACTGATTTATTTAATTAAAAATCAAACCAATTGTTAATTGAATAATTGTTTAATTTTTACTTGTAATAGAAAAATATTTAATAACATGTTGTATTCATAATACTGTGATTCAATAAAACTTATTCGAAAAAATGATAAAAATAATGGCAGGCTTGACAAGTGCATATTACTAACATGTGCAAATTGAAATGATGAAAGATATTAAGAAAATATTTACTTGATGCTTTTTATCAACATTATAATACACAAACTATTATAGATATATATTATTTACACACATACATGCGGAAATGATTTCCATTATGAGAAATATTTGTCAATAACAAAAAAGTTTGAATCTATAAGCACAATCAAGAATTTTTAGAGTGGCTATGATACCTGAAGAACCATAGTGCTCACGACGATGCCTGCAACGGGCACGAGGTTCAATTCTAGCCACTCCTCGCCTGCCCTCAAGCAACCTCGTTCAAATATACTCCGTTCTCCTGGCTGCATTTCCAACGAAATAACCAGACATAATTTAGGCGCGGAAAATATTTCTCTCGCGAGAATCTCCGTTATGATGAAGGTACAATTCATGAATATTATGATAATAATTTTTCATTTTACATTTTTATAGATCTAAGTATTTCTACAAATATAAATAATTGAATTAAAAAAAAAAAAAAATAGTCAACTATTTTATCATTTAAATAACAGCAATACAAGAAGTTAATATTTTATTTAAATATCAATTAATCTTCCAGGATTATTCGTTAAGTTATATTTATTCTTTAGATAGAATGTTAACTTGGATGTTTTTTATTGGGTTGTATGGACGTTATAATTTTCATAAATAACTAGCAAGGAAGTAAGCAAAATGGAAACATAATAAAAAATTAATACTCTATACTTACATTGCCAGGTTTCCGTACGTTATAACCACACTGTTTATTCTTGGTGATTTCCTGCAAAGTAAAATGAATTTTGATGAATTGTCAGTTGAATTTTTTTTTAACAAGAGTTAGAAGATTTTTTTTTAAACAAACTGAGGACTCTAAATATGAACAATAGTAAACATGCATTGAGTTACACTCAATTGTGCTTTATTGATTTTGACTGATAATGAAGCAAATCAAATGTTGTCCTCAAAATAGACTGGTGGAACGAGAACTTGAATGAGCATTCGATGAGCAATCAAAATTTAGTTTACACTTCTCACGTTGGGCTCCCGTTTGCAACAGCTAAAAGGCACGCCGCAGGCTTCACTGGAACCAATCTCGCTTGAAGAACAGTTGAAATAGTTATTACGGTCCCAATCCTTTGGTCCTTCGATTCCACAGCATTGCAACTGGAAAATATTTATTATTTGTAGTGCTTCACTTTTCCATTATAATAAAAATAAACAGTAATAAAAAAATTCCAATAAAATGATAAATGTCAAAGAAGAACAATTAAATGAAAAAATCTCACATCTCCAATATAAGCATGGAAGAATCGAATAAGAAGGATATTGAATAGAAGTTTATACGAAGCACGTCAATCGTCTTCGCATATCTTTACAGCTCAACTGTCAATTGACAAATCTTGAGATGATTTTAGCTTCAGGATGTAGGTCAGGTCACGTCTTTTATAGTAAGAATCAACATGTAATAATCAATCAATGACCCAATTATTGAGCAAAAGGTTTAATCAATGGTTTTAATAGTGCTAGGATCGAGAATTGGAAATTGCCATATTTCCTAGGAAATCATAGTCTTGGAGTTGGTGATTAATTTATCACCTGTCAGTTGCCGTTAAACCAAGCAGTAGAATGTAACTTTTGGTGGCTTATTGAGGACACTTTATTTATCGTATCAAGTACTATCATACCAAGACAAGTTTTTTCATTAAATTATTCCAACAGATTAAAGCATTTTTAAAATTATTTATCAAGCCATTTCACAGCTCTTATTGCCTTTTGGTACATGCAATAACGATGAGTGCCAAACAAAATTGTTTTTACTTTCTTGTCAAAATTACCAATAATATTGTATTTAATTTATTTTATTTCATCAATTACGTCAGGTTAGTCAATGAAGTGCAAAATGAAATCTTCAATACACAAGAGAATTGATTTTAATCAAATGAGCAGTACAATCCCTGTTGGAATGCTTCACACAGAAATATTCGATTAATAGGGTTCAAACGTGCTTGTATATTGGAAGAGGGAACCAATAGGAGGAAGATGATATACATGGTACCAAACTGATAGCACAACATCGATGGCTTTCTCCTAGTTACTATTGAAATTTCCTGAACCGAGGTTCTGCGGTTGGCTATTGATTGCACAAATGGCATTGCGCCTCTATGAGTTGTGTCTGCCAAACTTGTGTACATATATAAAATATCTATACAGCTTCCAATTTCATTTTTATTGATTTTTTTTAATCACTGATATAATATTATTTTAAATAGTGAAACTCACCCAGTCTTCTTGAATCCAATCTATGAGATTTTGTTGATCTGGATCATCTCGATAGTGAATGATGAATGCTTGAAAACCTCCTGTTGCTTGAGTTTTAATCTAAAAATAAAATAGAAAATTATTATTATTTTAATAAATCGTATTCTTTAGAATCTTTTCATTTATCATTGTTATTATTTTTATTAGTAGAGCTTCAATAAAAAGCTATCTCAATTATGATTATGAATTCAATCAAATTTGATAGGATAATAACTATATATTATTATGATTATTATTATATTTATTAATTGATCTATAAGCAGGTCATAATAATAGTGATAATAATTTAATTTTTTTGTGAAAGTAATTCTGTAATGAATCACATTGTCATCATGTTATCATTTTAGTATTTACTCGATAAATATGAAAATTTTGTCACGTAATTACAGTTGTATTGAAATGAGTTTTGAAATAGAATTACATTATTTTCATTCATAAAAGCACCTGAAATATTTCGGTCCTTTCTAATTATTATTTATAACTAGAATTCTGTGTGCATTTTATACAAATTAATTAATATATGGGTAATTGTAAATAAATTATTCGGTGAATTCTTGCTATTTATTGAATTCAAATATATTTAGATGAAATAATTTATGTAAACATTTCAGAAATATTTACCCAATCCTTGAAAATAAATCCTAGTATTCCAATCGTCATTTCCAGGAGTAATAATGATCCCAAAAATACAGCATACTAGAATACAAAAATTATTAATATTATTATTTTAAAAATAGTAGATTTAAGATAGTACGTAATAACGTACAAAAGATTATCCAGATATTAATAATTAATTACATTAATTATATAAATTAGAAAATAGTTTATAAACTTCAAATTTTGAGCTTTTTTTGGTGCATTATTGTATAGATCGAATTTTTCTGGAAATATGAGAATTTTAGGCCAATCGGAAGAGTATTGAACAGTTTCCTATTGTGTCAATTTAAAAATTACGATATTTGATAATTGATTTTTTGTTATCAAAGTCGTTGAAGCATTTTTAAACTTGCCAAAAAATTCATTTGGATGTTTATCTTTAATATAATAAGAGATTTACTGTTCTGATTTTTATATTTCGATCATGCTACCTTAAAATGTGAACATATTATAAAAGTATTTATTTAGGACTCACAGCAGCAAGAAGACATGTATTTTCCCTGAGTGCACCTACACATCCTGTAAATCCAATAACCGATGTTACTGTGCCTGTAAAAAAGATAAAAACATTATGTCAGTGTATATTTGGCGTTTCCATTCATCAGAATAAATTCTGATGTTCGATTTTTTGATAATGATTAGAAATGAAAAATAAGACATCGGTTTAAAAATTCTGAGAAAAATACTTTTGATTGAAATTACAGGGGCTTTGGATTAGTTTAATGAGAATGATGTCGTTGACAGTCAAGTACGTGTATGGGGTAGGCTTACCCTCGGATCCATTCGATGCCAACATCAAGTGTGTACAAGAGGAGAAACCAGGAAAGAGGAAGCCAACAGACCTCGTTTAAGAGCATACTAATAAGTGAACATGCAATCGGAAGCAGAGGCTGTGATTCTCATTATTCAAATGATACTTGAGACTCAAAAAATTTACACAAAAATACTTGGTGTTGATGTTTAGCAGATGAATTAAAAGGTTTACTTCAATTAAGAGTTTGAGAGTGATTAGAGGAAATGGAGGTCGAGGAATTTTTCAATTTATGTGAAGAAGTAAAAATGAAGTAAAGTAACTTTTATTTTAAATTAAAAATCTTCTTCATTACATTAAGGTATTCCGATTGAGATTAATTTATTCTTAAAATATTTTTGTAACTATACTAGAATTAAAAATTTTCAGAAAATAAAACGTTTGTTTTAATACAAAAAATTATGTAGTCATTGAAAATCTTAGTGTTTTATTTCAATTCATTTAGAGTGTTTTTAAAATGACGTTACTCATTTGATTAAAATTCCTAAAAAAAATAATTAATAATAATGTTAACTTCCTTTTTTTAAAACTTTTTATAATTTTTGACGTAATGGCAGACAAATTAATCAATATACAGAAAGCTGATGTAAATATTTAATAAAAAATATTAATTTTATTCCATCGGGCCTTCGGTTTTTTTTTATACTGCCCGAAGCGATCGAAATACCTTAAATAATTTAAACTACAATTTTTTTTTTATTAACTGTAAAAGCTGTTAGACTTTTAAATAATAAATTCTTTCGATATTGCTAAAATAATTATGAACTAAAAAAAAAATTTTAATCTTAACATTAATTTTTTTATGTAAAAATGAATTTTTAAAACTCATTAGTTAATCTGGAAAGTCGTTAAGCTTATATACATATACATATTTTGATATTCTTATGACTTGATTTTTATTCAACTGCTTTGGCTTTCTATCCTTCTACCTTGGTACATAATCCGTTATAACGATGCGCACGGGTGCTAATTTATTACCATCCGGTTTTTCACAAGTTTTGCTGTGAAATTACGTCTTACTTGTTTAAAAGATGAACAAGTTTTTCTGAGGGAAATTTTTCTTAAAGTTTTTATGATTATTATAAACATATATCTCGACATAACACGCTAATACAAGTGTGAAGAAGACAAAAAATAAGTCATTTCCTATCTTTAATTCAATAGGACTCGAGGGAACAACAGAATGAACTTTACAAAGAGCTACATTTGGAGTATGATACAAGAATCTGTACTTCCGTTAGTTCACAAGTTTCTCTTTGGCTTGAGGGTGAAACTGTCGTAGTTGATTTTGTAGCACCTCACCGGTATATCGAAAGTCTGTCTCTCTACTATAGTGCCAGACTCACTTCGTTTCATTGAATCTCTCACACAAAGTCCATCATTTCAAACATCTCAAAACTTTTAGTTTCTGATAAAGACATTATCGACAATAACTACTCACCGACTAGAATGAGGATAAATGCCGGGTCGAGAGCGACATTTGTAAGACGGGAGAGATTGTTGAAAGTGTCCTTCTCCTTCCATGCCCAAACACCAACAGCCATAATCCCAAGACCAAGCCACTGAAATTTATTATTTATTTTTGTTAGCTTTGTATCCTATAAATATTGTACTTTATTATTTATTTATTAACTAAAGTATCCTATTGAAACATTTATATTCACGTGTAATCAAATAGTAATTGGTTTAGCATAAATTGGTTATTTTATAGTACTTGAGTAAAAGAATTATTTCAAATAACTCTTTGTTCGTAATTTCAATCAGAGTCAATTTGATTTTAAGCATCATCAAAAATTAAACTTAAAGCAAAATCAGTTGTTGCCAAAATTTAACTACAGTTTTACATTTCATTATTAGGATTATTGCATTGACTTTGATTGAAGTTTAATTTATACTCAGTGATTCAAGTAAACGTATTTAATTCAATGGATGTTTGAGTTGAATTGAGCCCTTCATTTTTCGAATTAAATCTCTTTAAAATTAATGAAATTTTATTTTGTTTAAGTGCCAATTTTCTTAACTTCCCATTAGGAAGTTGGGGTTGATATTTTAAAATTCATAATTTTATTATATCTTTACATTTTAAATAAAAATATTGACCTTCAATTTTTTCAACATTTAAACCCTTTAGACTTACAACCCTTCAATGATTTTTTTATTAGTAACTAATAAAAAATAAATTTAAAAAAGTTTTTATTGAATTCGTTCAATACTCAACAGCATTGTGAGGTCTGATTTGCAAATGGAAGGATTGAGAAAGATTTTCAGATAATCTGCACGTGTTGCATCGTTAACTGCACTGCAAATTGCATTAATTAAAAGTGACTACAGGCTTAGAGAAGTGGTCGATAGTATAACTCGATTATCTTTCGAGATTCCACAACCTAGTTTGCCATTACCAAGATATACCTCTACGAGTCATAAATGTAATAATTTCATTGAATGAATAGAATAGCTCGACTTTTACATCATTTTCATTGAAGGATTCTATTTTTATTTTGCACTCAATAAAGTAGCCTAACAAACAATTTAATTGCTTTTTAATTAATTATTACACTTCATGTATGGTTCCAGGAGCAGTTGTTCATGACAACTGGATTCATTGATTTATAGAGTTGGTTATTGTTTGATAACTACGTTTAATATTTTATGTCTTATCCTTACGAGCAATATAAGCTTTATAATTGGCAATTCTTGATCGAGTTGTTACTATTATTTTGATATTAACTCATTTGACACTTTTACAGTTTTAAATTACTTCAATTTCAATTAAATCATTTCTGTTAATATCACGTCCATTATAATTACTTTAAATTTGCTGTGATGAATTGAATAAACTATCAAGTTTTTAATTAATGTTATGTTATTAGTATAATGTACAGGAACATTTATGTATAATAATTTATTTCTGGTGGGAAAAATTGAACTAATTAATAATTCTATTTTAAATCTATGAAATGTCAAAATAAGTTTTTATCATAAAATGTTTATAAATTGTGAAATAAAAGTACAAGTTTTTTATCTTTACTTTAAAATGTTTTTATAAAGTGCAGTTTCATTTGTCTTCTTATATATTAGGATTCGTATTACAGTAATAGCAAAAGTTGGCGACTTTATTACCACAGATTTCGGAAAACGTATTGCTACAATTATTTCCTTTCAAAGTATAGTATTCTGGTACTTAGTTTACTGTTAAATTACGCCAATGATTTTATGATTCTTTATGAAAACTTTTTGGCAAAGAAAAATTTGAAGAAATACTTGATGATGGAAATAAAAAAAAAAATAATGAGAAAGATTTAGATTTGTGGTTCTTTACCGTGGGATTATAGTCAAGTAAAGGAGATCAAAAAGAAGTGGACACAAGTCAGAAACTTCTTAGTTCAATTAAGTTCAAACAAACTTTGGAGATGATTTCTGGTTGGAAGAGAAAACATCATTAGTTTCATTTTGTATGTTTTGCTGATTATCATTGATCAAAGAAGCACATACAAATTAATGATTTTTTTTTATTAATATACTGAATATCAGTAATCTGAATCATTTTGTAAAATTAACAAAGAAATAGAATTAATGAAAAATTTTAAAATATTACAAAAGATAATCTGAAAGAGATAAATTGATCCATTCACTTATACTTATAATGGTCTTTCTTCTAAAGTTTACTCTTTAGAATTTGTTGTCAACTTTAGAGAAACGATAATTTTATTCTAAAGTTTATGCAACCACCACGAACCCTTCATGAATATTTACTTGATACGCAAAAAGACGTTAGGTTTCACCGAGTGTACTTAAACTTTCTTTATCAATTAATAAATGACGCTTTTAATTAAACATAATTAGTAATCGGTGTGAAATGAAAACGTTGTAATTATTACTGAAATACAATAGCTATGCTAATAATTGTGTTTTATTATTAAACAATTTAAGTGTTTTATTGCTGAATAATTAAATATTAAATATTAGATATTAACTAAAAATTCTTTTTAATTATTCAAACTTTGCCCCATATTATCTTTAATGATACACAAGTCAAAATTGTGAAGATATTTCGTTAGAGTGCGACAAAAAATTAACAATCTTTCATGAGTTGAATGTTAATATTTACCTTTGCTAATTTCGGTTTCTATTCCTCTGATTTCAGGAAAATGCGAAACAAAGTTAAAAGAATGCAAATGTGTTGTTGAGCTTGCAGCCAAAAATGTTTCACTAGTTAAAAAGAAATAGTAATGAATTTGTTAAAAAAAATAGAAAAAAAAGAAGGAGGTTTTAAGAAAGGAGGAAAAAACTATCAAGTGGATTATTATGGCTAAAATGCTTATCTATTGTAAAGAAAATATAGGCTGAAGATCATCACATCAAACCAAGAAAATTATGTATATGTAAATAGTGATGAATATTCATGAAAGGTTAGAATATCATGTGCATAACTTGGATCGTAGGCGCGCTAATTTGCAAATGCCTGACAAGCTACCATGGTTTACCGATTAATAATAATTCATGCGGTAGTAGTGACGGGGAGGAAGAAAGATAAGAGGGTGCAGGTGACTTTATAGATCGAAAGTTATACTGCGCAAGTCAGTTGAACAAACTTTAATGCATATAAAATCGTAACGCTTCGCTTCTCGAATAGGAAGTTCAACCCTTTCAGCCACGTCCCAAATACTCGATTTTCCATACATATTTCTCATTCGCCTGGCATCTCTACGTCTCTCGTCCAGGTGAAAATATAAATGCAAATTCAACGAATTCCATTCACGCATTTCAATTCTCGTGAACGTTATAACCTATTTTGTATTACGCATCAATCAAACTCTCCATGTGTTTTACTTACAACTTGGTATGTGTAAATGTACATGAAAAAAACGACCTAAAAGTCAACCACAAATGTTTTATGAAAAGAAAGACAGTCGAGATAAATTTATCTCGTGCGTGAGCTGGATTACCGATTTGAGTGGCGCCTTAGGGATCGGATTTACATTCGGTTGTGACTCTAAATATTGACCAGATCTTTTTTTTTAAATAAAAATAGAAGGGAAAGGTTGTAATAAAAATAAAGAGTTAAATAAAAAAAAAATTAAATATTTCATCCGAATTCATGCTAAAAAAAACTCAGATGCAACGAGTTTGTAGAAGCTCTTAGTGGGATTAAATAATGAGAACATAAAAGAAAATGTATATGTAGATATTTTTTCAACAACGATTCAGGACGATAGTTTCTTATGCCCCAAGTAGCAATGTTCAAATCCATTTTCCTAGAAATAATTTTTCTTTCATTTTCCTTATCGATATTTCTAAAAGTATTATCTGATGCCACCAAATCTTTCTTTTAATAGCTATCTCATCTCTTTCGTATTCTTAATAATAGCTTTTCAATTCAATTTAATATGAGATACTAATATTTTAATACACTTTTCGAAGGTTTTCAATTTAACTTATCAAACTTTAAAACCTGATGAACATAGAAATTCTAGTCCATCAGTATTTTTGGTTTAATACTCGTATGCGATTGCAAACAATTCGCTTGCCTATATTTCTCACCCTATTGATCTATACATACTCTAATACAATTGAGTATCATACAAGTGCATCATACTCAATTAAATAAAAGTGTATGAATTGATTGTTAGCATTCAGCAGAACCAAGTACCCTCTTTATTCTCTTCATGCTTGTTGTTTAAAAAAAAACTTCAAATATAAATTTTTTTTAAATTCCTTTTGAGGTACGTATTTACTTAGGCAAACATTATTTAAATTATTCTATATGTGTGTAAATATCAAATAATTTTTTGAAAATATTGTAGGAATTGATCTAGTTTTTTGGAAAGACAAATATTCGAACGATCAAAAATATTACGGTAAATTTTGTGAATGTAAATTATATAATACCCTGAGTAGAAATTTTATCTTAGGTCCACATGACCTTTGCCACGTTCCTCATGTGAAACCCAAGGGGCAGTCCTAACACTTAAACGTGTTGTGTAATAAGGTCATTCATGTACTAATAAATAAAAAATATTATTACATAAATAATATTTTTATTTTAATAAGAATATAATAATAAATACCTCATTTGTGCTTAATATTGGCATGCTTTATAGTTTCGTAATTAGGACGACATATGTCTTTAAGAATACCGATTAAATATTTTTACTCGAGACATGCACTACCAAGTCACGTAAAATGTTGAGTTTTATTCAGAATAAAGAAATCATTTGACTTTTTTGCACAAATCCATCGAAACTTTTTTCAAATTTAAATGCAAACGTTTTATCGAATTTCCAGTTTTATTTAACCTGAAGCAGATGCAGAACAAGTTGAACAAATCATGGGAGCAGTAGTGTGTTCCGGATGCCAATATTTGCGGTTGCTAAAGACAAATCTTAAGGATACCAGAAGACAGATAACTTGGAGTTTCCTGTGGGCCAGATAAGTTCGCGTGTGCCGGAAGGATATACCATACGATGTTTCAACTTGATGGCGACAAATTCCCTCAAACTCGCGAGCATATAGCATGAGAAGAGTGAAAACAATCGGCGAAACGTGATCGAGAGAAAGGTCT